ACTCAAACTCATGTTTCCGATTTTATGCTGGACTAGCTATTCTAATAAGACAACCTATAACATGCCAACTCGGACTTTACACTAAGATTGTGTGGCTGGCATCGGATGGACAAAAAAGAAAGAAAAAATATTAGACAATAAAAGATATGGTTATTAGTGTGCTTAAAACTTCACCCTCTATATGAGCACTCCCTTCTGATAAACTGCCTTCTTTGTAACAACCTTAACTTCCCTTCCTTCATGTAGGCTTACTCCGCCTTGTTAAATATTACACTTCATTGTTCTTTATTGCTACATTCTCTCATCTGAATCTTCTGACTTCATTTTGCTCTAACAAGAGATAGTATGAATTTAATCTAATTTATTATACCTCTGTCTGTTCCACTACAAAACGTTAAGCAACGTTTGGCGTTCATATCCAAGCGCCTTCTTGCTCTTCTGTTTCTCTTTTTCCTTTCTTCAGAATCTTGCTCTGAGGGCGCAGCTATGGAACTTCTGACGTCTGGAACAAACTTGACGTACGCGTCTCCTCAAGGCCATAGTTTACAGCAAGCGCTCTACGAGTCTACTTTATAACAACTATAAACTTAATAAGCTGTACTGCATAAATACGTAGCACGATCAGAATTCTAACACAGTTATGTCGGTATCGAAATTAGTGAGCAGCGTGAACGCGACGCCGCTTTGGAAAGCATTTTAAAGACTGTACTCAGTGTACTAATAAAGCATAAACCTAATCATTATCACGTAAGACATCTCTACGCATAGACTACTACTCGCTTTTATTGATTTTATTTATATAATGACCCTATTTTGGAAGCATGCTGTGAGCCAAAAAACGTTGCAATTTGTAGATCATGCCTGTAATAGTGGCGTGTACCTGTTCTTGCAGAAACATATTATTATTATTGCCTATGTGTTCAACATTAAAACCGACGTTTTAAAGTGACTACATATATTTCCCGATCAGTTGCTGCCTCCTTCCTGATTTATTTTTCAGTTTATCACAACCCTGGGATTCTTATTATTCTTGGTAACCTCCGGCAGGCGACAATCTCCTTCGATTTGATATCGAACCAACGCCACATTGATTCTGGTTGGAGAGCTGAATAATTGGGAAAATAGATATTCAACATTCAATTCGAAGAAAAACCCAACGATGGAGAAGCCGGGAAGAATGAATTCGATTAGTTCGAATTGATTGGATGGCATGGCTCGGCCGTGCAAGCATGGTCTTACATATGTAACATTACTTTTATCCATATAAAATGTGTTGTTCTTTCTCCAATCTAAATGTGTTCTTCACCATGTATTGATGATCGTTACAACGCGATGAATCAGGGTAGACAATAATGTGACTTCTATGTAAGATCTTATACATTAGGCAGTCACATCATAACAAATCTACAATTTTAGGGTTAAGTCTATCATTAGAGCAGTATTAATGTCATAGTAGACTTTATTTCCACAAATATCCGTCTTATATCCATGTTGCAACGACTGAAATTCATTTTCGACTTAAACGCAGAACCTCAACTTAATAGACTTTTGCAGTGTTAATAAAATATTTCTGACAAAGGTTTACATGCCATTTTTATGGATATGAAAATTAGTATTGGAAGATTTACAGGGCGATAAAACAGTGATTTTGTCAAGGGATAAGACTGATAAATCAGTGAAGCTCGGAGGCGAGATATCCACGAGATTTACTTACTTACATACATACTTACTTACTTACCCACGTCTGTCACCTCTCGTAGAGGAGCATAGGCCGCTCATCTGAGTTCTCTATAGAATTCTGTCTTGGATAATCCTTTAGAGTTGCTTCCAGATGTGTTTCACCCTCTTAATTTCTGATTCCGAGTCTTGACGCATAGAGTTCCTCGGTCTTTCTCTTTTCCGTTTCCCTTCAGAACTTCAAGTCATGGCTTGATCCGTGATGCAGTTTAATGATTTTCTTAATGTATTTCTTGTCCACCTTCATCTTTTTTACTTTCCTCTTCTGTTGGAAGTTGGTTTTTCCTCTCCCGCAGTAGGCTGCTGTAGATGTTATCCGACCAACGGACAATGAGTATCTTACGTACACAATTGTTTATAATACTTTTACACTTTTGATTATGGTTGTAGTATTTCTGGAAGTTTCAGCTCCGTACAGTGGAACTGTCTTGACGTTCGTATTGAAGGTTCTGGCTTTGATATTGATTGAAAGTTGTTTCGAATTCTATATGGTCTCCAATTGTAGGAACGCTGTCCTTGATTCGCCAATCTTTGCATTTACATCTGCATCAGATCCTGTTTGCTCCTCGATGATGCTGTCCAGGTACGTCAAAGTTTCCACCTCTTCCGGAGCTTCTTCGTCAATCGTTATTGGGTTGGAATTCTCCATACTGTATTTGAGAATCTTGCTTTTTCCTTTATGTATGTTGAAGCCTACAGGTGCTGGGGCTTCTGCTACACTTGTTGTCTTCATCTGCTTTTGTTCATGTGTGTGGGATAGAAGAGCTAGGTGAACTGCGAAGTCCAAATCGTCTAGCCGCATCCCAGCTGTCTATTATGTCCCGTGCTTCTACCGAGATATGGAGGTCTTTATAAACCAGTTAACCACCAGAAGAGGAAAGCGGGAGTTAGCAGACTTCGCTGACTCGAGTCCTCACTTAGAATTCGTCTGTCAGCTGTCCTCCATGCACGATTTTGCACTGTAGTCCGTCGAATGAATTCTGCATCACGTTGACGATTTTTCCAGGTACTCTATAGTGTCGAGGAAGGTTCCATAATTTTCTCCCATCTACGTTGTGAAATGCATTCTCATAGTCAAGGGAGTTTATATATAGTGACGAGTTCCATTCAACTGATTGTTCGCGATGATCCATAGTGTTCTGATTTGGTTTCTGTATAATCGATCCTTACGGAATCCGATCTGATGATCCCCGAATTCGGGCGTCTATTGAGTTTCATCCTGTTCATCAACACTCTGTCGAAAGCTTTTGCTGGTTCTGACAGTAACGTGATTACCCTGTAGTTCTCACATTTGCTCAAGTCTCCTTTCTTTGATATCTGAATGAGGTGTCCTTCTTTCCGGCCCGTCGACAATTGTTCTGTGGTGTGTGCTACTGATGTCGACAGACATAAGTGGAATGTATTATTAGTCGAAAGTGATGTGCCTGGCGGTAGAAGGTTAAGAAAATCGAAGAAAATAGGACGAGGACAGAGAGTGATTGATGTGGAAACGAAGGAATGGTCAAGTCTGAGACAATTGATTAATATTTAGCAAATGAGGAATTTGCTCTATGCTTCTCAGTTTTACAGATAGATTCTGCAATTTTGTGTTCGCATACATTTGGTTTCCCCCAACTGTGTTCTCCTTCATTACAGCTTTTTCTCCCAAATCTTCCTGAATAGAACGCTGAGCATGTTTTCAGTCACTTTTATGCCTGACTTCAGTGCTTCATCTGGTATGTTGTCGGATCCTTCTGCTTTCCCATTATTCCTGACTTTTCTAATGGCCATCCTGATTTCTTCGATTTTTGGTGAAATGACATCTATGAGAAGATCTATGAGCACTGTTTTGATGTGCGACAGGTTCAGTGGAACTGGTCTATCCAAGAGTTCTTTAAAGTGTTCTACTCCATCGATTGGCTAATCGAGAACCACAGACCAATAAATATTACCCCGTTTACGTCATCTTTAATATAGAGTGATAAAATACCAATTTTCTGATTTTATTGCTTACTTGAAGGAGGCCTAATCTGCCCAGCTCATAATGACATCAGTAAAACGCTGTTCTACACTAAATGTCTTATTGACTTTTTAACGAGCTTACTTACATTCATGACCAAAGGCTACTGGTGTTTCTACTTCATCTGATATCAAGAAAGCCTTTAACAAGGTTGCTCATAATCTTATTTAGTAACAAACGTCAGACCATCGGAATTATTAACCATGTGTTTGCAACTGACTGAATCGTTTCTCCCGAGCAGATACCAAACAACCAAAATCAGCTCTCCGACATCTACACCTCAAACAACAACCAGTGGTGTTGTGAAGGGTAGTGTGCTGGGCCCACTGCTTTTCACAATCTACATCAACTCTATAAGCACGAGCAATACCTGTCTCTATGCTGTTGACATAAAGGTCAGCTATAAGACTAACACTTGTGACGTAGAAAGTATTACGCAAATAATTCAGTGTGAATCATAAAGTCTTAGAACATAACGATGATCAATATGCAGCTGGCTATGGGATAAAGGAAATTCAAAATAAAACTCACTTTTATTAAAACATATTGCCAAAACTCGTATCTGCAACTGACCTTCGAGTGCACTACTCAGACGGTTTAGATTTCTCTAAAAGTATTGCTAAAAATCTCCAGGTTTTATCTTCCGTAACCCTTTTCAAAGTTAGTCTAGAATTATTCTCTACAGGGTGTGTGTGAGATCTATCATTAAGTTCTTCTCGTTCTTGTTTTCCAGCTTACTGTTTAAAACCGATTCATCTATTAAGTATCCTTCCTTATTCCATACCTTAGGACTTGAACTACTCTATGAACAAACTCAGATCCAACGCTCAAAAACTTTTCTTAGTGTTCACATTGCAATGCGCAGATTTTTCGAGTCATGACTTTTTACTATTCCTTAGTCTTTTTCTCCTGTTTGCATGGGAATGTGTGTATTTATGTAAACCATCGCAACGACTAATTCACATTTCCAAACTGTTGCTTGAATCCGCTCTCCATGAACACCGACTTGTGTGCTGCATCAGGACGTTAAAATCTTGTAATCTTTCCTTACCAGTCACACTTTCTACTAGTCTACAAAGTTTATTGTTCTTATTTTGCCTTCACATATCACGAATTCTATCTGAAAGTTCTGATAGTGAGTCGGTAACATGAATAGCACCTTTCTGATTGAAAATTTCATCATTTCGTCAACAACCATATGTATCAACGTGAAAAAGTTGAACGTGTTTTAATACACCACAAATGATGTATTCCGCCTTGGAAAGGTCGAGTCAGACGTTTGATGTAATGCTTGCATACTTGTTTGGATTGTCTTTTTAGTTGAGGATATATATCTATTTTATAATCACCAATCAGTAAACAGTTATGGAGTGGAGTGAACAGTACGCACAATCAATAGCTAATATTAAACCCGAGAATTTCGATATGGGATCAGTAATTAAACAAGAAAACTTCGATATAGCTGTTGTTTCTCAAAATGAGTGAGTTTATCCTGTCATTTATATTATTGTTAGTGTAATGGTATCCTTGTCAAGCGATGGGGGCACGACAGTTCTTTCTGCTGGAGAGATGAGGTAAGAAATATCCTGTATGAGGCTGATTCTTTACGTTGGTATGATGAAAAGAAGCATTTACTGGGTCCAATTTTCCTATTTAGTCTCTCCAGTATTGTTCAGAAACGTTTCAGTATTGTCTGTAAAGTCAAGACAAAAATATGTGACGACTCTAGTACTGTTATGCTGCTAGGATGTACGTCCATTACGTATCAAAAAGATTGAGATTATGCATTCTTAATCGCTATAGTATTAGTCATCAGTGGTATTTAAATTATTATGTTTGTGCTCATCGTTATGTCGCATATGAAGCTGCTGTTCTGTTTTTTTCAGTGTAAATTATTTTGCTTGCTAAATTGACCTGACAAACTTACTAAAGTAAAGAGGTAGGGGTAATGAACATTCGTCTTCGAGTAAAATGAACAGGATAATATCTATCTAATTGAAACTTTAGAGTGTAAAACCTGTTTGCGTAACTTATAAATAAGACTTCAAATTAATCAAACTTGTACCAATTCTTGTGAAGTGCATTGTGAATGATTAAAAAGCTTCCCTTCCCATGTAGTTACTATAAATCCAACCTTCCAATACCTCAGTACCGTAACATTATTTTTAAAAATCTGTGTTCACTGTACTTTAGTCATTTATTTATTCCTTCTGTACATGTTGGTAGTTGGGTGTTTTGACCAACTAGTTAATGTTTTGGATATCTGACTAGCTTTGATTCATGATTGTTATATTAATTTGCTCACGGTTAAACCCGAGTACCTACTGCTCAGCATACAGCTCCAGACAAATATGCGCCTGTTCAGGTTGCCGCATCACATCAGGACAGTTAGATGAAATTGTCAAGACAAATGCCTATTGAAACTGCAAATACACATGAGTAAAAATTAACTAATTAATGACACAAGTTTATGCGCGTTGTTAACGTCAGCCGATTGTTTAAATGGAAGTACATGAGGTGTGTCTCTAATTTTTGATTCAATAGTACAGAGGCGAAGAACTTAATTATTAAGCTATCACCTAAGCCCAAGACTTACGCACCTCCAAAGAATAAACATTCATTGGGAAGACTATAATTTATGGATGAACCAATCAGATTTAAGATAATCGGTCTTGGGTTTGGGCGTGAAATTAATTCATCAGTACGGCTATATAGTATTTTGGCATTATAACTGTTCTCAGTTCGTGACAAAACCCTAAGTCTAACCCCTAACCCTAATCTCTATCCCTAAATCCTTATTTCTTACACTAATCCATGGTCTTCATTTAACTCCTGTAAGTAAGTACAATTCTCAAGGTAAATGTAGCGTTTCTCAAAGGTCATCCATAAACTATGGTCTCACTCATTCATCAAAAATGAAGTGTAATTTTCGGCAGTATACGTTTTAGAGGTTGTGGGGCGAATAAAACAACATCTACTTATAACTTGAACAGTAGTGCTTCTTTACCGTTCAATTGTGTATGCATTTACTCCATTTATTGAGGTTTAACCATTATTCCCTCAAATTCATCCTCTTTCAAATTATATTCAATGTTTATTCTTGCCTATTATGATTGATTCTACTGTTATCTCGACTCTTCCTATTCGCCTCGCTTTGCTAATCATGGCACGAGGATTTGGGCTGACACATTTGCCACAGGTTTTTTGTCGGCTACGACCAACTTGATCGTTTGTCCTATGCACACAGTAACGCAAACAAAACCCTGTTGACTTGCATGACTTAGCTATGCTTATGTGTCGTAGAGTGTAGTCAAGAAACGTCCTCAGGAATCATTAAAAGTCGAGATCTACGATGTACATGAAACGTATGTGGTATCACTTGTCCTGGGAATTATTCTACAGAGTTCCTGTCAAAACACTAATGATTTTTTTAGCTTGACTACTATTAACACATCGATTGATCACTAAATTACAAGTTTTGCTGGCGGAACATCAATAACACAAAAATAGTTCAGCAAATTCAACTTGAAACCTCCAGGTACCTAGAACATCGGAAAATTTCATGTTTTTTTTCAAAAAATTCGTTTCCCAAACCTATTTTACACTTCCAACTGCTAATGTCAGCTTTCAATTAACCATTTCCTACTTTCTCTTAGTAACGGGATTTTGCAAGTTCCGTCAAGTGATGGACTTATGGGTTCTCCATCGGCGAAAGAAATTGAACGTTTCAATAATCTTTCCGAGGAGGAACTAAAAAACAAATCCCTTCCTGACCACCTAAAAGAAGGACTTGATATTGTTATAGTTGGGATTAACCCTAGCTTGGCCTCAGCACACGTTGGGCATCACTATGCTGGTCCTGGAAATCATTTCTGGACATGTTTATCACAAGCTGGTTTGGTTCCAATGGCTGTCAGTTGCTATGATGATTCTAAAATGTTGGATTACGGTATCGGATTCACTAATGTTTGTACAAGACCAACCAAAGGTGCAGCTGAACTTACACGTAAGGAGATGAAGGCTGGTGCAGCCATCATGCTTGAAAAAATGAGAAAATACAAGCCAAAAATTGCCGTGTTCAATGGTAAAGGTGAGTTACTGCCATCAAATCAGGTTTTGTTATTTTAAATAGCACTTACTGTTTTATGTAGAACCTGACACGTGCTCATTGAGGGAGCCGTGCTACATTAGCACAATCAGATGAGATTAAAGTAAAAATCCAAGAGTGAGTACGGTTAATAATGATATTAGTAATTCTACTACTCTGGTATGCCTCATCTCTCTGTGCTAATGTGATATAGTAACTTGAACCAATATACATATGTCCCAGGTTCTATGTTACATATGACTGACTAATTTTACTTATTATTGTAAAACTACTGATATTCGCTTGCTGTTAGCAACAGTATAATAAGGCAGTGACTTGATAGTTGAAGCGCTTCCTTTATAACCACAGTGTTGCATGTTCGAACTCCAAACCACCTTATTTAAGTAATATCACTAGCTATTATATTGAAAAAGGTAACTCAAATACAAATTCTAAAACGCTTATTTGGGTGCTAAGTCATAGTGAACAGGAATCAACTATTTTAATTCCCACACTAAACGTAATTAGATATGCGTATTTCTGGATATTCAAAGGTGATGGGTGCTTCAAATATGCACCATAAAAGTTGTATCCCAGTCAAATCGTGAGAATTTTGAACCATAAAAGTCTGCTAGACGTTATAAATATATATATATATATATATATGGTTTGTTAAGAATACTCGTATTTTGTAGCTTCGTGCTTTCTTCCTATACTTTAATGCCAGTAAGTTGTTTAAGAAGACGAATTGTAAAATTTTCAAGTTACTCTTCATTAACTCCACATTACTAGTATATTAATGTAACATTACTTGAAATAGTGGTCATCCGAGGAAATATATCTTGCTTTCATCACATTTTAGTACAGTTTCATCTTCAGATCTCTTTTATATGGTAATTAGAATCATTATAACAGTATTTACTTTTTATTCTGATAATCTTCAACTAACATTTATAAAGTATGATTTTATGGAAACTAGCATATATCATAAGTTAAAGCGGTACCATTTGTTAAGTTTATTATGATAAGCTTCGTTTTTGTTATGAATATGAACACTTTGGGACTTTGTGTTAGTCTTTTATGTTAACCGGATTGAATAACTACTATTTCAGTCTTATGTCTGCGTACCTAAATGCTCAGAATGGATTATTAGCATTCTTTTTCATTATTTTTCTCCATAGGCATTTATGAAGCATATGTTGGACATAAAAATTTTTGCATGGGAAGGCAACCTACAACTTTGGATGGTACAGATATAGTAAGTTATATTGCAAGCTTTTGCAAGTTGGAGAATTTTTTATTCAGTTGTTTGTTTTTTCCTTTTATTTAATTAACTTCATGAGGTGGCCATGATATCAGTGATATCGTGTTTATTATTTTTGTCCCTTGATTTAGTTGTCAATGTTTAATTAATGAGTACGTCTCGAGTTTATTTACTTCAGTATGCGTTCGTCAAACAAATTGTCTCAAAATTATGTATACAATGATGGATTCTGTGTGTTCTATTTTAGGGAATCAACAAAGTTGAATAAAATCTCAAAGTAAACACTATCTAGGTTAATATGTTCATTATATTTTTAACAATGACATCTTACATACCTTAATACGTGATCACTTAACTTTGTTTCATTATAGATCATCTTTGTGATGCCTTCGTCTAGTGCACGATGCGCACAACTTCCACGTGCTGAAGATAAACTTCCATTCTTTTTAGCTTTAAGAAAACTACGTGATTATGTACGTGGTGATTTAGCTGAATTACCTGATTCTGAAGTAGTGTTCGCTGATTATACCGAATTTCGTGTCACTCAACCAGATCCAAAAAGTTTACGTAAAGCTGAACGACGTCGTAAACGAAAAGCTGAAGCGGCAGCAGCGGCCGCTGCTGCAGCTCTTGCTGTAAATTCTGGTGATGGAACTTTAGTGAATGGAATTGTTTCAAGTCAAGTTATGCCTAATGATAGTAGTAATGTTACAACAGTTTCTCAAGCTTCAAATGGTGTATCCGTTGATGGTAAAGTAAAATCTAAAGCAAAACGTAAGTAATAGCTATAGAGTGTTAAATGAATCATAAATTCTTTTCCATATTTCGTTAAATTATTATTATTATTATTACTTGAACACATAGATATTGGTACAAGGAGGCACCAAATACATATGCTCCACACAAATCTCATTTGATTTGTGCGAGGGCTGTGATACTGCCCAAATGCCCAAACCGAAGCAGGTGGTTTTTTTAGGGGGCCACACCCCGAGCCTTCGACATGAACGTCTGATCCACAAGGTAGTGGAGCATCGTAAGGAGATGCAGCCCCATGGCGGCCGGTGACTAAGGACTGGTTCATACACCATTTGTTCCTTCAGGATATTGGAGCCCATGTGCACCATTGGTTTGGAATCAGGGTTTTTCAACTCCCCTAGATACATCCTCTGTGTCCACCAATCCGGTTAAAGCTCCGAACATTCGCTTTTCATCCTCTCAATTTCCTAAACAAAACCCCCACTACGGGAAGGCAATGAGTAGGACTTCCATGGTAGAGGCTATATACGCGTGACTATGTGAGAGCATCTCAAGAAAGAGAGAGTGGACTATCCTCACTCTAGGCCGTACCAGGGCATTTGGGGGTAGATTACTCAAGATCTTATGTAACTATGTTTCTCTTTACGGACCATTTTATTTCGTTTTTTTAAACTTTGTTCTGAATAATTCATCTTTCCCATTGTTGCTTCTGCTGCAATTATTTCAATTTCTTTGCCTCTTCTTCATCTTGTTCATTTCATCATGGTGACATACTGTAGCAACATGAGTCAGAGTATATTTTATATATTAGATTTCACGTTGATTACAGCTTGACATGATATATATTATGTTACGTAATTATAGGATAATTCCAATCTGTTATTATTAAAATGTGTCTCGATTTTTTCAATTTAAATTCTTTCATTGGTTCTCATTCCCTTTATACTATGATGGACTGTGATTGATAATCTAATCACTAATATATATTTTTCTGTATTGCTTACCTATAATTCAATTATTCTACTTCCAGTCATTTTATTATGGTTTTCTTATTTGTAATGATTTATACAACCTGATTATATTAATCTGTTTTTACATGAAATCTATACATGGTTGCCTAGTTGCAATATGATTGTCAATTCCCGTGAATTAACAATTTAATTAGTATTTATTAATATTACTAATTCGTTCTAACTATGTCTCCATTTTAACTCATAAAAGATGTCAAAGATAAATTTAGTTAACAATTAGTAATGTATAAAGTCATTTGCTGTAGGTGTAAGTTCTAGATGTTCTATGAAATGTGTGTCGCCATTTTCTTGTCCCATTTCTTATCATAGCCATCCATCAATGTTCTTTTAAATCTATATTATTTACCACTTTAACTGTTCACTTACCTTTTCACTTTTCAATATCGTCTAGTTCAAAATAATCAATCAGTTTGATAGCGACTTGGAATTTAAACGAGGCGAGAATTCTGATATCTAGTGGTTGTATGTGTATGTGTGTGTGTGTAAATAACTTTGATTAGGTAATGATTATTTAAAAATACTAACTTATTGTAGTTCTCAAATTTATCAGCGAATCTGTGAATTCTCATTAACTGAGGTGACTGAGATATTTGTTGCGTTTGCACAACCACTCCTTATTCTGATACACAGTGCTAGTTAGAGTAGGTAATAGGTTAGAAGAAAGTTGTGGGTGACTAGTTCGTGAAGTTATTACTGACTGTTTATTTTGGTAGGTGCAAAGAACCTAGTTAGTGTTATCAACGTAATAATCATGATCAGTGGTTGGAGATGTTGGGTGGTATGTTTCGAAATCAATTGCAGTGACCTGGGTGTATTTATTTATTATCTTCCCAGTATAATCGCATACTCCTCATCCTACAAGTTCATACCTTTTTTTCTTCATAATCAATCTCGTGCTATTGTTTGTACTGCTACCGTATTATTTCGACGTTGATTGCTATTCATCTCGTTGTGTTGATATAATATGTGAACTCAGATTTCTGCCCCAAATCTTACTTCATTTATGGTTGACTGATTAAATGATGTAATATTTCATGGAAAGCAAATTCTCAATATTATTTGCCTAGACATTTTTACTTTGTCTCTTAATGATTTAGAATCGATTGTTATTAAGTCCTCTTGGTCAGTTACATTTGATATTAAAACTAATCAATTGCTTCAAAACTTGAATTAGTTCTAGGAAGATATATACATATTCTTGTTTACATGTGAAAGCGAAAGGTTAGAATCATTAATTATTTCATGGTGAAGTTAAATGCTAAAATGATTAATAATTAATTCCCAGTTTTGTATACCCTTCTCTAGCTCCATACTTTTGTAATTTTCCACCTACAATATACAATATTCAAATTTATTTAAAAGGTTCGTAGTATTATGATTACATCACCAATATCAAGTGAATTAAACTTCACCCCATTGCACAAGCAAGTGGCTATCAGGACTCAGTAGCTAAGTGGATAACGCGATGGCGTTTGAAGCGGACGGTACTGGGTTCGAGTCCCGGAGTGAACATCAACCCTGAGATGCAGGTACATCCAGCTGACGAGTCCCAAACAGGACGAAACGCGCGTCCTGGATTCCACTGCTAGCCACTATCCATCTTTGCTTATAATACATAAGATTTGCTTGACCTAGGCTAATTGAAATCCTCTTTATTTAATTGTCAAATAATAGGATGATTTAGTTGCTTCAAAAATTTGCTAACTAGTTCACCTTACTCTCCTGTATAAAGTTCATCATTGTAAAAAATAACTGTTATATTTATTCATGTTCTTGCGGTATATTAGTAGTATGGAAGTAGTATAATGCATTCTATTATATACTATAACATTTTCTTTCTTTCTACACACTAATAGTTACTATCTACTCACTGTGTTCCTTTAATTTTTCGCAAATTTCTAATAAAATGCACTGTATATATCATACTATCTTTCTCACCCTTGAATATTTCTATTCCTCTATCTTCTAATATTTCTGTGAACCTTGTAAAGAATAGAAGAAATATGATAGTTTTATGTGTTACCTTCATCATTGTGATGATGATGAGGATGATGATGATCTACTTTCGTGTCATTTCAATAGAAATGATAAAATATTCTGTACCAATATTGTGTTGATGATTACTTATATTATGCAAACAATAACAGATCTTATAGAAAATGGATAGAAAGCTAAATATTACTGTCCATTTATGAAAAATAATTCTTTACAAATTATTTCTACATATAATATGTATGTAGAGGTTAGGTATATTCTCTAAACTTTTTCATTTCATTTCAATCTTACCATTGTGTATAGATATACACTGTGTAAAGAGAGTGTTGCTATTACCAAAAACCCTAACTTTGATCTTTCTCGCTTATCACACTACACACATGCTCGCTTGCTCTCTCTCTCTCTCTCTCTCTCTCTCTGGTTAGATAGACGATTATCTATGTCCCACCAGTTTGAACATTGACGATACTACTAGCAATACTAATCATTTCTACAACTAAAATTTTCGTTTGTCGTCTCTTTATGATTATTTTTTTCTCTCTGTTACCACTTCGCGTCATATTTTAATTTTAAAGATATTGGTTTATACACTAAAGTTTTATACAACTTTATTTGATGATTGTGTTATGTGAATTTCTTCATTTCATAAATTAACTAACATAGAGAAATAGTGAGCTTTGTTATTTCAAAATTCAGGCACATTCTGTACCTACTATATCATAGGTCATTTCAATGTATATCATCAGTGGGTTTTATATATAACAAAGTCATATCTAAATATCGTCTACTCCGGGCTAGCAATTTTTAATTTTACAATCATTTTAGTCTATAAAAACCGGTCAATTTTTCTCTATATAGTTTGTACACCCGAGGACAGTTATATATTCATTCTCTCTGTCCATATATATACATATATATATATATTTAGGTCTTATATTAGTTTAGTCCTTTGTCCTTTCTATCTCTCTCTTTTCTTACCTAGTAATATAAATTGCATGTTCATTTTTATATCTGCCCTTTTACTTATAATTAAACTTATTTTGTTTGTGTGTATACTTGTTTATTTGCATGATTATTTCATTTGTCTGCCTCCTTTATATGGTAGAGAAAAAAGGTTAGACCATAATTTGTAGGTTTGTTTGGCCAATTTTCTCTCTCTCTATTATAGGTGAGTGATGCATATATATATGTATATACATATATATGTATGTTTACTGTTGTTATGTTTTTTATCGATCTAGCCTTGTGGTCTACTTCCTGCCTTTCCCCTTAAACCTTATTCTTTATTTTATTTTAATACATATTGATAGAATTTTTCTAACTTTGTCTAATCTCCACGATGTACTCTGTACATAATTTAATCTACGATTAAAAAAAAACAAACAAGACATTATTATTGAGACAACGTTTTTACTGGCTAAAATATGTATAAAAAAGCCTGTGTCTGGTTATCTCGACTACCCCTTATTATTATTATTATTATTATTATTATTATTATTATTATTATTATTATTATTATTAACATTAGTATTAATATTAATATTGTATTACTTACTATGATGGTAGTTAAGAGGTACATGTACTCACAATGATTTTCAGTAAAATTCACATGTGAAGTAGGTATTAATAACAATAGACTGGGAAAATGTTTCCTGTCATGTCTCACAGTCATACATCTCTAGGATAGAAATAATGAAAAACTGGCATATTTCTACAGTATCTGCCTAATTATTTTTTCGTTTATTTCTACTATATCAAATTTTTTTTATCACAATCGTTCAGATTCGAACTACCCGTACACAAACTAGTAATGATAGTTACAGAATTGTATCTCTATGTTGTTTTACAAGGTTGGACATAAAACTGTTCAGTTCAGATTGTATGATAGTTTTAACGACTGTGTTACCGGTATCATCAATCTAGAGTTGTCGTACTAGAAAACTCTATTACTTACAACTTTCTATTACAGTGTTTTTTTTCTCGTGTTTTCTCATATTCCTTCCCCCTTGTTCATTTTCTGTCTCTCTGTTAGATGGATATACCTTTCTCCCAAAATTAATGTTCACTCCGGAATCCGAACCCAGTATCGTTTTTTTTCTTTTCAAACGACAACACGTTATCTATCGATTTGTTTAATTATTTCAAGTAGCCACTTATTTGTACAATCAGTATGAATTCGATTCCCTACAAATTAAACTAAAACTTATATCTATTGCACAAGTGAGTAGTTATTCGGATTTCAGTAGCTAAGTGAATAATACATTGGCATGTGAAGCAAATGATACTGGTTTCAAATCCTAGAGTCAATATCAACACTTATGTTTGTTACCCCTCGTAGAGGAACATGGGTCGCCCACCAACATTTGCCATTCAACTCTGTCCTGAGCAATCTTTTCCAGTTGTTATTCATCCTTTTCTTGTCTGCTTCCAGTTCTCGACGTTGTGTGTTCTTTGGTCTTCCTCTTTTCTATTTCCCCTCAGGATTCCAAGTTAGCACTTGCTTCGTAATGCAGTTTGATGATTTCCACAATGTATATCCTATCCACTTCCAACATTTTTCTCTAATTTTCTCTTCGGTTGGAGGTTGGATCAATTCTGACGTATATTCAACTGAATTATCTAAAAATAAGATAAAATGTACATTGTAGACACCATTACTTTAACCACATTCCATCTATTCTATGTATAAACATATGACAATTATATTTATTAAGCTGATCTGTAAACAATACACACATGTATATACCAATTAAGATTGATAGAAATTCCATTAATAACAGAATAATGATTATAAATGTATTTTTGTATTTAATTTTCTTTTAAATAGCTAAACGTAAAAAGTCATCCAATAATATTAATAATTCAATGGAACAATCATTACAACAAACTACATCCATACAACAAATTATGAATGCAACTGGTATTACTACAAATAATACAACTGGTATAACATTTACAAATTGTACAACTGATTTACAATTACAACATCAACAACAAGTCTTACAACAACAAGTCCTACAACAACAACAGCAACAACAACAAACATTTCTTTTGCAGCAACAACAACAACACCAACAGCAGCAACAACAATTCCAACAACAGTTCAGTCAACAATCCGTTCAACAACAGCAACAACAACAAATTTTACAGCAACCCCAACCACAACATCAAATGATTGTTAGTGCTGGTGGTCATTTTATGTCTACTACACCAATGGTTACTTTGTCAACAATGGCAGCAGCAGCAGCGGCGGCTGCCGCTGGTGGAACAGCTACAGCTATACCTGTTCATCCCGGTATGTAAAATATAATGTATATATATATATATATATATATATATATATATATATATATATATATATATATATATATATATATATATATATATATATATATATAATTAACTCTCGTAGATCAATTATTGTTCCTTTCTGTTCTTGTTCCACTTATATATTTATTTGGACACATAAACCTTGGTACAAGGAAGCACTAAATATAAATCCTTCACACTTCGTCATTCGATTTGTGTAAGGGATGGGATAATGTTCGGGGGCCCGAATCGAAGCAGGTGGTTTTCTTAAGGAGCCACTCCCCAAAACTTTGACCTAGGAGTCTAATCCACAAGGCAATAGAGCAACGTAATTAAATACATTCCCATGGTAACCAGTTACCAGCAATAGGTTGATGCTCCATTTGTTCCCTCGGGATCCTGGAGCCAATGTGGAACATTAATTTGGAGTTAGGGTTTTCCAACTCTCCTGAATGGATCTTTCGTATCCACCAACACGGTTGAGGCGCTAGACATTCGCTTTTCATCCTCTTATTTTGGCAGACAACACTCCCGTCACGAGGTAGTGATGAATAGAACTTTCGTGGGAGTGGCTGTACAAGCGTGGTCATGTGAGAGCATTTGGAGGGGGAGATCTGACTCTCCCCATCATCGACCGTACCAGGGCATTTGGCGGCAACTAAGATAGTTGAATGTTGGATTAGAACAAAAATAGTTCCTTCCATATTATTATTATTATTATTATTATTATTATTATTATTATTATTATTATTATTATTATATCTTAAGGATATTAGACCAGTTGATTTTTAATAATTAAGATTATCAGTATGGGAATTTGGAGATTACAGTAGTTCCAGTTGGATTCACGAGTTGGTGTAAGATAACGTACCATTGAGAACCTTGAAGCACTGGACGGCCATTTCGTCCTAGTATGAGACTCTTCAGTAGTGCGCATCCACGATGCCGGCTCGATGGTCTAGAGTTTAAGCGTTTACGCGCGAGACCGAACGTCCTGGGTTCTAGTCCCTCATGCGAGATCGTGGATGCGCATTACAGTTCAAGATGATGTTGAAAACTCCACTACTTCATTAATTTCAATTTATGCAACAGAAGATTATCACTAATGTTCTGATACGATAAATTGTTTGATGTACGTACTCGAACGTGAATTTGATTATTAAAAGCGTTCAATGAAGTTTCTAAATTAATACTTTTTTACGCAGCTTTTCTTCAGTACATAAGTAAACAAATAGATATGTCGATGTGTTTGGACCTTAGTGCTAGTTGCTCATATTAGTAAATTAATCAGCAGTAGTAGTTGTTGTCGTCATGTATATATGTGATCAGTTTCATTCTGGAAAGAACAGTAGGTTGGATAGCCTGTTTTAGTCCTGGCAATTAGGGTCTCTCAGGTGATCCAACTTTCTTTCGAATGCGTCGAATGATGAAGTTTCAATCACATGTTGAGACAATGAGTTCCATTCACTAATGAGTCCATGGAGAAAGTCATTAGTCAAATGACAAGTAATTTGTTCTGGTCCTGGGAATTTTTTTAGAGAGATTCTCATAGAATCTTTGAAAGTTTAGATACACTAAACCTTTTAACTGTTTAGGTGTAACATGACTTTCAACTGGTTTTTCGTTGTAACCTTCGTTTCATCGATCAATAAATTAATACATTGAACATAAATATTTTCCAGTTAGAATAATGACAAAGCATGAAAGTATGTGTAAGTTTTTTCCTCAACTGTCTTAAGATATTAGGCGCATCATAGGGGATAATGTTCAGTTTCTAAGTGACCATATCAAAATTCTCTCGAAAAATAAATGGAAGGCATTTTTTAGGTATTGCTATATTGAATAAAATATGGTACTCGTGAACACTGCCAAGATGCCCTATACTAGGACAGAACACCTGCCTCCTCTCTGATTTTCATTGGTACTCCAACTGACAATTTCTGAATATAATCGATTGATAAGAAATGAGTATGAGGCTTAAATTTGTTAATTTCGCTACATGGTTGAAATGTTCACGTTTTTTTACTTGCAGTCATTAGATTTGGTTCTTGTACGGTTAGTAATTTAAGAAACCTTGAGATCAACAATTCAAGGACATGTATTACGTATGCTCATCTATTGACCCCCTCGATGCATGATTATGGCTGGTGTGTGAATAAGTTATGAGAAGGCTAGGGGTGGCCAAACAATCACATGTTATCAGTTCATGAAGACACTGGCCATTAAACTGAGCCATGTAGTTATATTCAGACTACCTGATTGAGGTCCATGTGGTTGGATTATTCGCAATGGCGCAGGTGCATGTACTTTTTGACTTCTCTTGGATCCTAAGTTTCTAAATTCCTCAAGAATTTTTTTACTTCACCAGATTTATATTTCCACGAGTAGTATCTTTAATGCCTAATCTTTTTTATTAATATTATTACTCTCACTACCTGTACTATGGGCTTTTTCCTGACAATTTCATTGCAATATTTTGATGGCGTATGACAATTTGAACTGATGTACATATGTGCCAGGTTCTACGTTTAGTTTAACTGACATTACTGTTAACATTATTTGCTTCAGCTCTCATGTTGCTCCTTTTTTCACAGTGCCCCGTATTCAAGCAAAGCATTTTGAAGCCCTGTTTGATATATAACGTCTAGAAGAATTTTCGATTTGTTCAAGATAAACAACATTCCCGTCACGAGATGGCAGTGAATAGGGCTTCCCTGTGAGTGACTATACTCGTGGCCATATGAGAGTATTTCGAGAGAGCTCTCCCCATCATCGGGCTCACCAGGGCATTTGGGGGCGTATATATCCCTAGAGTTGTATTGTCTAACTCACTAATGTATATTATTATTTAGCTGTTATAGATTAAATGTAAACTAACTGTTTATTTTAATTATCACGAAATCAATATAATGTGTTTGAGTTTATTTTAATACTTTGTAAATAGGTGGTACTCAAACAGCTGTAGCATCGGGTTGTTATGCTGCTGGTACGCCACAATTCCAATTTTCTAATAATCATCCAACTGGTACAACGCAACAATTTTTTATTAGTCCACAAACTTCAAATTTATCTGCAGGTAATGGTGGTAATACTGGTGGTGGTGGTGGTCAAACACTTTTACAGTGGTCTACAACTCCATGTACTCAAGGTGTCCCAACAACTGTTCAATTTCAACAGCCCAATCAACATCAACAACAGGGAATTGCTGGAACTTGGCCAAATGTCTCTACTATTTATCATCAACCACAACCACAACAAATTGGTACAGCTATCCAATCACCTTCAGGAGGAGCTGGTACTCCGACAGCTGGACATACACAGCAGCAGCCACAACAACAAATGTTCACACAACAACCGGGAGCTATGCAACAAGCTTCAATCCAAATGGCTCACCAAGCACAACAACAATTATTATTTACATCACAACATCCAGTTGGATTACAAGCAGCCGCAGCTACTGGCGGTGCTCCACAAGCAGCCTATCCACAACAAGTGTATTTGGCACAGGCTCCTGCTGGTAAATTTTATTTCAATCATATATATATATATATATATATATATATTAGTCAGCTGCAACACAGGTCCAGGCGCATATATGCTTCGGTCCAAGTTGCCATACATCATTAGCACAACAAGATGATCACCGAATTCATAGCAGCGGTTGTTGCTACCTTGACGTGGTGGTCGGGCCTGCCTATAGTGATGAAGAAACTGAGCTACACTGGCTGGAACAACCGTTCCTCAATGTCCTACCATACCAGACAGGTCAGTTGAAGAGCGGTAAGACTGAAAGCAACAAATCCAAGGTCCGAAGGCGAAGTCGTACTGCTGACTGTACAGAGGTGTGACAGCAGTAAAGTGTTTCCTTCAGACAACCAGCATAACAGCGATGCTGCCTTCCCACAAGGAGGGGTGGTGTTAGAAAAGGTCGACCCTAAAAATGCACACCTCGCCTTATCCCACGGATATCCGTCTCCGGCGGTAAGGTCTCAACAAGTACGGAGCTAACACAAAAACTACCCACAAAAAGGTCGTGTGTGACCGACCTCAAGCAGCTGTCCCTTTGGCACTGCGGTCACGCTCTCAGGTCACTGTGACCACCTCTAATCCAATTTCCTTTTCAGGTATCTCCAGGAGAACCCTTCCACGGTGTGGGCAACTGGGAAGTGATAACCGCCCTCATACCTCTAACAGCACTCAAGACCACTGTATTCATAATCAACTTACCTCTAACAATAATATATAAGGATATGATAAAGGGCGGAAGAATTAGTTCGTAGAAAGAAAAGGAATGACGAAGGGTGTATACACCTACGCCACTGTGATATGTATACGTATGACTAAGTTGGAAAGTCGATTGGCTTTTCAGGACAAGATGAAAGCTGTTGGAGACTGGAGTTCTGGAGAAAGCAAATAAAATGAACTAATTACCAGTATATTTTGATATAGCTTGTGTCTAAGTAGAAATTGGTGGATGTGGATAATCGACGTAGGGTTGTGTGCAATTCCTAATATTTAACCACTGTTCCACATGCGCTCTGAGATTCTAAGAGGAAAACGATGTATGGACCTATAGCTTTGAAAGCTATAACGAATATATCAGTATGGAACATGGTACAGGCTCAAATATGTTACATGCATATAGAGGATGCACACATCAAGGATATATACAGTTCATAGTACACAGATAGGGGTAGATGCGATTTACCCCAGGCTGCAGCCCAGCCGCAGTAAACGATAAATAAATTACTAGCGTTCAAATTATTTAAGTGGTAAAAGTCGTATGTTGACGATATGCTGCTTCACACTTATACCACAAATAAATTTAGTGTTGACCCCTCTGCACTACTGGTTACTACAGTTTATGATCGTTCTCTTTGGTTTGCACGTGGCCTGATGGGCCTTCATAGAAATAATCCAGTCATACACCAATAGGAAAATTCTTTCTCTAGTTTCTCATTTCACATTTATCTATACAATACACACCTTTCTGATAATCCATAGTAAAGACAGAGTGGGGGCTAACCTGATCTCGTCTTTGTCGCTCAAGTTAGTTCATGAAATAAGGGTTCCACTACCTTCAGGGTATTACGCAGATAAATAAGTCGGACATTACCCTGCAATCATGTTGATACAGTATAATGTATTTGTGACGCAAAATCAGTTCTGTTCAGGTGTTTTTCTATAAAGAGAAGTGAATTAACTCAATTCACTGTACTACTATCTAGTTAAGTAATTACATTAAAATTAATCATTTTGATTCTCAATATGTTCGGACTAAATATTTTTATCAGTTGCTATGGCTAAAACAGCATAAACGATAAAGTTTCATGTTAAGATTATTCTAGAAAACTACAGTGATAAATTAAATGTAATAAAGTAAGGTTCTATATCATTTGACTTTTAGTAATGTTCTGGATTCCCTTCATTGGATAGTTTTTAGACAATCAGTCAAAAGTAATGTAGAAGTTAGTATATATATACGTTGGTACAAGTTGTTACACTAAATAAACACGATATAAAATAAAATCTACTAGTGTAGAAACAGTAAAACTGTTAAGATATATGGTGAAAAATTCAGACATTCAAGAATACTGTTTTGAGGGATGCAAAATATAAAGTAATACTGAAGTTCAAAATTTGGCGGTAAATAAAGATTATCATCTGTTGAACTGTAACGTCTACAACTACTAATCACGGTTACCATACAAACCCTAACCTGATTGTTGAAACTTGTCAATTCCTCTCAATCTAACAATCAATGATTTCATACACTAATTCAACATCTTGATTTGACCTGGTCTAGTTTTCTTTCAACCTATTACTACTTCGGGGAACATTGTGTGTGTCGAAATTGGCCGTGGTTGAGACATATGTAATACATAGCCTAATCATCTCAGTCGATGAAAATTCGGTACCTCAATAATTCATTTCACTAATTAAATTTAAATGCTATTTTTGATAATACTTGTAAAATGTTTATTGAAAGTGCTATTATTAGTCATGCTTAAAGTTGTTAATAAATCTGTTCGTTGAGCGCTTGATGCGATTTCTCAGCCGCTTCTAATAATCCCAGACTAAATTGACATGGCAACTTGAACACAAGAGAAAAGAGCGTTACTCTTATCCAAAAGTATGTATAAAGTATAAAGTTGTGCCTACTATTTAACGTGACCTCGGTCGCTTGGAAAGTTCTGGTGGTACAATAAATGTACCTAATCAAAAAAGTAAATGTGATCTGTCATCCTTCTAGATGTTTTGAAGAAACTTTTATTGTACCCTGATTGGACAAAATATTTTTAAGTATTTTCTGGGCTTCTATTAACTTCTCTGAGGACTATTTGGTGATATTAATTCATAAAAAAGAGTGAAATAAGTGACCTTATGGTTAAATTAAGTGATTCTTAAACTGTTTACCTCTCTTCTCGTTGAATTAATATTTGTGTTTGATAAGCGATTAGCTAAAACTATGAAATAAATGATTATTTATATAAAATATTCCTTATAAATTGTTAATTTACAAAGTATGGGGATTTGTGGATACTGTAAAATTTTCTTAGTTCAATTCACCAGTTGATCTAAGCTAGTCTACCATTGAGAACCTAGAAGCTCTGGATGGTCATTTCGTCCTAGCACAAGACCCCTCAACAGTGCGCATTCACGATCCCTCACACGGTACCCGGACACAAGACCTTCGGTTTTGCGCGCGAACGCTTAACCTCTAGACCACTGAGTCGCCATCCACCGGTGTTAATTTCTAATTTCAGTCGACTCATGATCTTGCCCATTCCTTCATCCATTGTCTGAGGTAGATAAATGTCTCACGTCCGACACGTATTGGGCTCCACTGGTTACGAATTCTCACTAGAACTCCTAGAATTACGTCTCTAAGCTAGTTACATGTAAGCACATGATTATTATTCAAATGGAGATTTGTGGAGGCTTTCAATGGCGGTCTAGCTTAGATTGACTCATAAATTCAACTAGTAAAATAAATCGTTTATTCACTTTTTTCTGTTCAGATTAATTATATAGTAGTAGATATCATATTAACTTTAAAAAACTTTTATTCTATATTACAGGTGCTAACGGTGCAGGAACATCATATCATCTACTTCCTGTTGGTTGTCCTGCTTCGAATTTCACAAGTTTATTATTATCCGACCAACAACAACATCAGCAACAACAAGCATTAACACAATGTTCTACAGCAGCAACGACTGGATTACATCTTCAACGAGGACAACCTACTGTTCAAATTCAAACACAACAACAACCGTATCAACAAACTCAACAATTTCAACAACATCAACAAATTCAAGCTCAAACGCATCAATTACAATCAACACAACAACAAGGTACTATAATGTCTACTGATAATATTACTGGTCAAACTACTGGTTCCATTGGATATTCTAATAATAATACTCCACAATTTATTACATTAGCACCAGGTGCTCCATTAAAAGTTATGGCTGTTGGTCCAAATGGTCAACTTATTCAAACTACTGGTTTACCACAGTTTATGCCAACTGGACCAGTTGGTATGACTATAAATCATCAACCTACAGCATTACAATCAAATCAGACATCGATTACAGTGACTCCTCAACGTCGTGTTGCCACACCTCAACAACAACAACAACAGCAGCAGCAGCAACAACAACAACAACAACAAACAAATGGACGTATAGTATCGACTGCTTCAACAGTAGCAGGATTTTTCTCCGGGACAGCTATTTCATCCGGTACAATTCCACTTGTACAACCAGCAGCTGGTATAGTGGAAGATCTAGTACAGACTACAAATAATACTAGTTTGAATGCTGCATTAAATACAGGAGATGAGAAATTAGTTTACACAGCTTTATAATAACCGGGGGGGTTTTTTATACATATTAATTATTTACAGATATGATGCATTTTTCTATCGATTTAACTATACAAAAAACTTTGTTTTTCCTACTTAAAAGAAATTTTCTTTTGTTGTTAAATGTTTATATTGCTACCATTGTGTACTATTACTCTTCACGGATGTATAACATCGTCCATATGTTTATTTATTATTTAATGAAGTAATAATCAAAGAGAAAACAAATAAGTAGAATGCTATTTATCTATCTATCTATCTAACAGTTTTTAGCATGTCTTCTTCTCAATCTAATCATTATGTGTAATTTCACGAATATGATTTCTTTCTTCCTTTTAAATGTTAACATTTTTTTTAGAGAAAAAATGTTTTACATGGAATAGACAATCATTTTGTTTTATTTCTTCACTCTTATCTCTTTTGCCTGTTTACATTTTGGTTTTCTTTTTTACATGTGTAATAATTATGATCATTGGTGATAGGATGATCATCATCTTAATGACTCTATGGGTGGGGGTGGGTGGTTGTGTCTGTGTGTGAGGGGGGCGAGAGCGAGAGAGAGAGATAGACACTATCTTGATCAGTTGATTTCAATGTATTTTATTTTTTAAATTTCAATAGAACTCAATCTAGTCGTTGTTTCTACCTCGTTGTCGTCATCGTTTCGTTCAGCTATCTTTTCTCTAAAGACTTTTATTATTATTATTATTATCATTTTCTATTCAACAGTGATCTAGTTTGATATATATATATATATATATATATATATATATATATATATATATATATAAAGACATGTATTTACCTATCTATCTATTTCATTCTGATTCTCTTAGATCTTTGCTTATTTTTTATTATTTCAACATTCTCTACAGCTTATTATACTTCAAGACTAATGCATTTGTTGTTGTTGTTTTTTTTCTTTTCAATTTATCAATGTAAATGAAATAGGTTTATGTGTGAAAAGAAAAATTATAAGAAAATAATATATTTCCCGCCAAACCAATTTTTTAAAAAAAAATAACATGGCGGATAAATTGAAGTACAATTGAACTATTGAACTCCTCATTCGCGCTCTCTCTCTCTTTTTCATTATGTTATTTATTATTGTTTGGTGTTTTCTGTATACATTTTAATGTGCATATATATATATATATGTGCGTGCATGTGCGTGTGTGTGTGTGTTTATGTATTTGTTTTTCTTCTTGTATATTAAAAGAAAAATCTTTTCTCTTTTTTTTTGTTTTCTCTATTTCATGATGGGTTTTTTTTTAATTATTTGTTGTAATAGTTTGTTATTGGTTTATAAACATTTCCCCATTTTACTTTTATAGAATAAAATTAGTATTATGTAAATATGTGCATAGAAAGAATAAAAGAATAAAAGAAAGAAAGAAAGAATCATTTGTGTATATTATCTTTTCTTTATATGTATTTGCTTATATTCACTATTTTAATCCTGTTCATCTTTTATTTTCCTTTCTTTTTATATATATATTAATGATGATGATAATAATAATAATAATGTAATATTTATTTTGACATGTATTCTATTTATAAAGGATATGTATATGCTTATATTGTCATTAGTAATAGTTAATCAGTTAGATACAACATAGAATCATGAGCATATATACATCAATCCAAGGTGCCATACATCATTAGCACATTATTGTTATTTACTTTATTTATTTGAACACATAAATATTGGTACAAGAGAGCACCAAATATATATGCGCCACACGAATCTCAATTGATTTGTGTGTGGACTGTGATGCTGCCCGGGTGCCCAGACTGAAGCAGGTGGTTTTCTTAGGGGACCACACTCGGAGCATTCGACTCAAAGGTCTGACCCACAAGGCAGTGGAACATCGTGAGGAGAAGCAGTCCCATAGTAGCCGGCGACCAACGATTGGTTCATACGTCATTTGTTCCTTCAGGATACTGGAGCCCATGTGCACCATTGGTTTGGGATCCGGGTAAAGCCGGTGCCGGATATTCGCTTTTCGTCCTGTCATTTTCGTAAAAAACACCCGTGGTGTGAGAAGGCAGCGAGTAGGACTTCCGTGGGAGTGGCTGTATACGCGTGGTCATGTGAGAGCGTTTCGAGAGGGAGAGCGGACTCTTCCCACTCTCGGCCATACCAGGGCATTTGGGGGCACATCATTAGCACGAAAATATGATCACCGAATTCATAACTGGTTAGTTCAATGGTGGTAATATATAAGGACATAATAAAGGGTGGAAGAATTAGTAAGTAGAAAGAATAGCAAAGACAAAGAGTGTATACACCTACGCCAATGTGATATGTATATATATTGACTAAGTTGGAAAGCCGATTGGCTTTACAAGATAAGATAAAAGCTGTTGAAGACTGGAGTTCTAGAGAGAGCAAAGAAAATGGACTAATTAGCAGTATATTGATATAGTTTGTGTCTAAGTGGATATTGGTGGGTGCGGATAATCGACGTAGGGCAGTTTGAAAATCCTAACCACTGTTCTACATGCGCTTTGAAATTCTAAAGGGAAAACGATGTATGAACCTACAGCTATAGATTGAGTGTATACACCTACGCCATGGGGATCGATTCTGAGCTATGTTACCTAAAGTTACGCCTGTTACTCCTCGTGAAGGAGCATAGGCCGCTCAACAGCATTCTCCATCCAACCCTGTCCTGGGCAATACTTCCCAGTTCTTATTCATCCCTTTCATATCCGCTTCTATTTACCGATGTAATGTGTTCTTTGGTATTTCTCTTTTCCGCTTCCTTTCAGGATTCCAAGTTAGGGATTTTTTCGTTATGTAGTTTGATGATTTCTGTAATGTGTGTCCTATCCATTTCTATCGTCTTTTCTTAATTTCTTCTTCATTTGGAAGCTGGTTTATTCCCTCGCACAAAAGGCTGTTGCTGATGGTATCCGGTCAATAGATGTTGAGTATCATGCGTTGACAGCTATTGGTGAATACTTGTACCTTCTTGATGGTGGTTGTGGTAGTTCTCGAAGTTTCACCTCCGTACAATAGAACTGTCTTAATGTTCGTATTGAAGATTTTGACTTTGGTATTGGTTGAAAGTTGTTTTGAGTTCCATATGTTCGTCAATTGAAGGAATGTGGCTCTTGCGTTGCCAATCCTCGCCTTGACGTCCGCATCTGAACTTCCTTGTTCATCGATGATGCTTCCCAGATATGTGAAGGATTCCACGTCTTCTAGAATTTCGCCATCAAGAGTGATTGGATTGCTGTTCTCCGTGTTGTGTTTGAGGACCTTGGTTTTCCCTTTGTGTATGTTGAGGCCTGCTGATGCAGAGACTGCTGCTAAACTGACTGTCTTTATCCGTATTTGTTGAGGTTTATGGGATAGAAGGACTAGGTCATCTGCGAAGTCCAAATCGTCTAATTGGTTCTGAGCTGTCCATTGTATGCCGTAGTTTCCCTCAGATGTCGAAGTATTCATAATCCAGTCGACCACCAGAATAAAGAGGAAGGGAGAGAGTAGACAGCCTTGTCTGACTCCGGTCCTTACTTGGAAAGCATCTCTCAGCTGTCCTCCATGCACATCTTTGCACTGTAGTACGTCGTATGAGTTCCGGATAATATTGAAAATCTTCTCAGGAACTCCGTAATGTCGAAGAAGTTTCCATAACGTTCTCCTATCTACACTGTCAAACGCCTTTTTATAATCAATGAAGTTGATGTACAGTGACGAGTTCCACTCAATTTATTGTTCGATGATGATCCGTAGTGTCGCGATTTGATCTGTGCACGACCGGTCCTTACGAAATCCAGCTTGTTGATCTCGAAGTTGAGCGTCTACTGCCTCTTTCATCATGTTCAGTAACACTCTGTTAAAGACTTTTCCTGGTATTGACAGTAGAGTATCCAAACATTATTTACGATAGTCACATGGACCTCAACCAAATAGTCTTCATCTACCAACATGGTTGCCTTAGTAATATCTTTTTAGGTTATATGTATGTAGATTAGTGTTTTATTATGTTACGTTTTGATGATCCTAATTAATTGTCAGTTAATAGAGCTCATTTTTTAAGTGAATATGATTAATCGTTCAAGTAGGCGAAAGTGTAGTTTTTACTATTCAACTTTTTGTAAGTTTGCGTTTAGAGTGAAGTTAGTTACATTGTTTACTAAACAAGTTTTCACAGTAGTTTGTGAGAATCTAAAAGTGAAAAGAATAAACGAAAAATTGAGCTGACAACTTAGTAAAACGCTTAATAATAATAGTAACTAATGACAATTAATAATGACCCTAGCTTGAAATTAAAATGATGTAATAGTGAAAACTAAAAGTTGATAGAGCAAGATTACGTTACAAGTTCGTATATTTGCAGTTGTTTATTGAACTACTTTTAGCATTTCAGTATTGATGACTTTAAAATGTCAAAAACTTATAGCTCAGTAGGATGATTACGATATACAAGTTGATGTGTAGAATAAAAAGGCATGATTCACAATGAAACTATCTATCTCATAGAACGCAAAATCAAGTTGTAATAAAATTGGCTTGAATTTCAAAAGTTAAGAAGAGTTTCAATTTATTTTCATAGTTAGAAATTCGTAAACAAAGATGGATAGTGGCTAGCAGTGGAATCCAGGATGCGCGTTTCTTTCTATTTGGGACCCGTCAGCTGGATTTACCTGCACCTCAGAGTTGATATTCACTTTGCGACTCTATTGCACAAGTAAGTGGCTATCAGGAATCAGTAGCTGAGTGGATAATACGATGGCATTTGAAGCGAATGGTACTGGGTTTGAGACCCAGAGTAGCCATCAATTCTAAGATACAGGTACATCCAGCTGACGAGTCCCAAATAGGACGAAACGCGCTTCCTGGATTCCACTGCCAGCCACTATCCATCTTTGCTTATAAAAGCTTGTGAGTTAAGGCAATATCGAGGTATGCGCACAGTATGCACCTATGCCAATGACCTACTGATCATATGCAATGTTAAACCTCAATAGGAAGATACAAGTGAAACAATACCAGGTGAAATATGATAAAGCTTCGTGATAGCATCATTTTCTAGTCCGCTTGCATTATCACCCTTCCCTCAACGAATTAAAAATGAAATGCCACTGAAATCGTGAATCGATCCCTGTTAAACCACCGTTGAAAACTTGGGAATATTGGAAGACCGTTCCGTTCTGGTATGGAACCACTCAGCAGTTAGCTTCCATGATCCTGCACGCGTGAACCCAAGCAAGGATTTTCGGTTTTGCTCAGGGCAATGCAACTTTAAACCTCTGAGCCGGAGCCCAACGGTAAGGCTTTTACTCACCGGAGACAGTGAAATATGGCCGCACAATGTCGTCAATTGAAGTTAGTTATCAATACCATTAGATGATGGTAGTTTGGCATCTATCTGCTCAATAAAACTCAACAATCCTATACTGAGAAAAACGAAATGTTCAAAAAATAACGTTCTATGAACAGTTCTTCAAATTCAGCTCATTGGTGATCTAGTTCTGTTTCACAACTTATTATTCGACACTATTTCTGTGGTTGGTTTCCAATTTATCTTTAGAAACATTTATGATATCCAACATCCCATCTATGCCGAATGCTAATTCAATTAGCTTAATCATGTATATTGATTATATTGTGTGTGTTTTGTCTGAAAGTATCATGAATACAGCGAATTCTAAATTTTTCTTGAATGTATGCAAGTCTTCAACGCAGCATTCCAAATCGGTTTAATGTATAAATGTAAATTATTGGTTTCCTACTCGTTAAT